AAATATATTGAAGCTTGTTTATTCATACCGAGAAAACTAACTGTCGGATCATTTCAAATGTATTCAGGAACACCAAATGTTTCAAGCGAGATTCTAAACTGTCCGAAAGAAGCTGTAGACAGGGGAATGCTGCTTAGGTTAACATGTATAGCTTCTCAGTTCTATCCTGAAGAATCTGTTGAAGTGCTGTGGACTAGCAGTGGAGATAGACATATGTGTTTAGAAACGAACACGACGCGTCGTACCACCACTTCACTCCTTCCTAGTAATAGTTCTTCCAGGTTTAACTTGAGATCAGTTGTTTCATTCAACGTATTAGACAGTCGTAACGTCACGTGTCATATATATGGATCAGCAATGTGCACAAAAAATGTAACAACGAACTGTAGTGTAGTAATCACAGGTAATGTATGATCATTGTCCTAATCATCCTCATCCTCATCACCATCGTCATCGTCATCATCATCATCATCATAAATGGAGTTGAAATAGTTTGGTGATTGATAGTTGGTTTCCAAATCCCGGATTCTATGAACAGGTGCTGCTACAGCAACACTCTTTTCTATCTCAAGAATAAAACAGCTCTAATCAACATCGTCATCCACATCGTCATCCACATCATCATCATTAATCAGTATCACTATCATCTCAACAAAAAGAATTAATAAATATAATAAGGATAATGAATTTCTGATCTACAGCCACTCTAATCAACAACGGTCTCGTTATCATCATTAATCGTTATCACCATCATACCAGCAAAACGAATAAATATATAAATAAATAAATAAAATAAGGAAAGCTTTTATTACTAATTTACTGTATAATCAACAGTTAGGGAGCTTTGGAAAATGGAAATGTCTTTGCCGTGTTTTGTTGAGTTTGATTGATTCTAACAATTTTAACATTCTAATCAATGTTTATATATTTTTTATATGAACACAATCAATTAATCTTAGTCCTGTTGTTATCATCCCATCTAAAATAATAATGATGATGCTGATATTATATTAGGATGACAGCGATGCTCATAGTGGTGATGATAAAGATAATAAAACATGATCAGGAGGAAAAAGAAGATAATGATGATGATGATGATGACGACAAAGATAATGAAGATTATGATGAAAATGATGATGGTGATGGCGGTGGTGGTGATGACGATGGATAACAATGCACATGTGAAATTTGCGTAATAGTTAAACAAAGTTTTCCTAAACCCACGAGCATGCTTCCATTGCTTTTTTTTTTCCCTCAGATACAAGTGAACAAACATGTTTTTCAAAGGGTCTGTTGGTTTCCATTGCTGCTCTAATATTGTTCATCATCATTGTGGCTTTCTGCTTGCCCGTATTGTATTACAATGAACGATGGTGTTTCAAAAACAACCGTGTGAAGGCAATCATTGAAAAGTATGGTGGCAAATTTTTTTACAGCGACGTTAAGAAGAACTATAAAGAGGGTAGGCCTAATGTGAAAGGCAATGAAGAAGGAAGTTCGTTCATCCCTACTATCAATCCAAACACGATAGATGATTTAATTGTTAATGTTTAGTGTTACTTTAGAAGAGGACGAGTTGTGCTGCAGCAAATTCCACTTGCAATTATTATAAATTTTTTTTGGGGAGGGGGAAGGGGGGTTGGAATTTGAAGTTGAGAATTTTCTTTATTTGATGAATTTAACCGATTATTTTTTTAATTATAATTGTCAATTGTTCTACATTAACCTGGGTGGCTTGGGTGGTTGACTGTAAGCGATGGTAGGTTTGTCTCCTAAGACATCTCTAAGGTATGGGTCTGTTGTAATTATCGTTTAAGATTATCGATGATACGTGATTTTAGTGTTAAAGAGTTGCTTAAAGATGTATTCTCCTATAAAAAAAAATACCAACAAAAATCATAAAAACTATTTTTGAGATTAACTTGCTTATTTTCAAGATAAATTATCAACTTGAAAGAAATTATTGGCTTTGAAAATGCTTAAAAGCGAAAAAATGATAGAAACTCTCACACTGTAAGCTTTTTTTAACTGTTATTATCATTATCCAGTGTAAAATCAGGGTACACATTTTTTGTATTCAATAATTTCTATACTCAAGATAATAATTTTGTATGCTACTGTAAAATGAGAAATTAATTTCAAAATTATTTTTATGTTTTTTTTCTTCTTTTTTTTTGTCATATTTAGTGGACAATACATCTTTAAATATTACAACTTTAAAATGCACAGGTTTAAGTTTTTCTCTTTTTAGGTTAGAATGGCTTAAGATAGAAGAGTGGGAATTATTAAATAACTGAATACAACACAAAACCTATTTAAGAGAGGATTAAGTTTAAGGTTAGAACTCTCTCTCCACTCTTCAAGCATATGGGGTTGTAATTATTTTAATTATTTATTGTTTTAAGTAAGGTAGGCCTATTAAATTTTATCGAGAAATTAATGTTTGTAGTTGGCTGCTATGTCGTCGCTCTGCCAAATGTCGCCCAATTTAAATTCTTAACCAGTACTGTATGTGCATTTTTTCAAAATATCTTAATGAAAATATTTTATCATTTTGATGGTTATGCTTATAATTTACAAATGTTTGTTTTTTTTAGTTTAAAATTATATATTATTGGTTTCTTCTCTTTTAACTTGTTCAATTCGAGATTGCCTCTGTCTCAGGGATGCATAGAATAGTTCCCCATTGGGCTCTTCCTGCCCTCTGCAATTTTTGTATTTTACATCTAGATTTTGTTCCGAAAAATTTGATACAGATTAAAATTGTTGTCAATATAAGAATAGTCTCTCAAAAGGCAGAATATGAATAACAGAAAAGCAAGTACTGTATATCATTAAACTTATAACATATACTCTGTAAAATACTGTATATATAGATAAGTAGTAGTTTATAGCATCTGTCTTTTTATGTATGAATGTCACAACTATATTTTATTGTATGAACATTAAGAGCTTTGGACTACCAATGTAATTTCTGTGAGGAAAAATACATTTTATTCCAATTCATATAAAAATTCTTTATTCATTTGTTATTGGTAGTGAAAAAATGTTTATAATAAAGCCAAGAATATTTGATCATTTAACATACCTTGAACATACCTTGATAGCCACACTTCATTATCTTCTTATAAGAAGTATAAGAGTGAGAAATGTGGCCGGGTTAAGGGAGGCATTATTATGCTCTTTAATAACCCAGTTTACTTAAATTCTGTTTAAAGCAAAGGAGTGTGGGTGATTTAATGGAACTCTTTGGTAGTTTGTTCCATCTATCGACTACTCTTTGACTTTAGAAATATTTTCCTACGTCTAGCCGGGATCTTGACTTGTCAATTTTCATTTTATGTCCTCTGATATACTGATAAGCAGCTTTTCGAAACAAACTGAATCAAAAAAATTAATAAATATTGTTGAGCATTATATTTCAATACGGTCAATATTGAATAATGCTTGAACCTTCTGAACCGTATGTACTGTCAGATTAGTTCACATATAATCCATATTCCTCTAGTACAAAGTTGTTTTTAAAGATTCTTTGATTAGAAAAGTTCTGTACATTATGCCAATATTAATGAACCAATAATTCCCTTTGTAAGTCAATGGTGACATCACCACTGTAACTCATAATGTTATTTTGCTATCCAAAACCATGCACTAATTTTTTATTAGTGCATAGTTTGCATGACCTTTTTTCAGTTCATGTGCAAAAGGTCAAAACAACTCATGACAAGTGCTTGAAACACAATCAAATATCTATATATGATATGTGTTAGCAGGTACTTCAGCAACAATCCACATTGAGATATTTGGTCGTTTGAACAATTGTTTGATTGTATATTTTAAGACATTTTTCTTTTGATTTCTGGTTTAACTATAATTGTTGTATACATGGCTTTGCAGAATAACAACTGTTAGTTGAGCCAAGTTTCCATGTTTTAAATAAAGCTTATTATTAAATTATTGTACTCACGGTTCGATAATGCATTTAAAAAAATCCTTCACGCCTTGCAGGCCCCCAGGAATTTCTTCATGCATTAATCTAACCTTTGTATAATAATTTCCACTAGTCCATACAGTAAAACTATAGTGCTTATCCTGTAGAAAAAAAACCCATAGCAACCATGCCAAAACAACAAAAAGTTTTGAAATATTGTCTGTGTTTTTGCCAGATCATCTACATTAAGCATATCTTTTACCGCACCCAATAAAGATCTGGGCTCTACAGTAATAGAGTTAGCATTGTGTTTGGAGTATACAGTTGGTTGTGACTGAAATCATTGTTACGAAGTCTCTACTTACAGTACAGCCTCTGACAAAACTTAAAATCTTTATATGCTGATTCGATATGTACTGTAAATACTTGAGAGGTTCAACCTATTTTTTGTACATGGTTTTATAACAAACTGAAAAATAAAACAACAAAAAAATAAATTTTTTACAATCATTTATTACTTTTAAACCCAAAGGCTCAGCACTTCAAGTATGAGAGATTTTTAAAGTTCTTCAGTAAATATTTAACATAAAAATATTACCAATATAAATATATCATGACCTATAGAGCATTCTTCTAAGGCATCTTCCTCGAAAGTGTATTACAGTACACATGGTCACACTTATTTCATTTCTTGCTAAGCTGAGTGTTTGTCAGAGAGGTAATGTTCCTACTTCTTGTGCTAAAGACCTTTGTTTAAATCCGGCCAATGTCAGATTTTAATTGGAGTCGATTACTCAGCTACTCAAATAGCCCTCGCTAGACTGGGTTCCAGTCCCTAAACTTTGTCTTAATAAAAAAGCTAGAAAAATTGATTTTGGCACCAATGGCGTTCCATATTACCTATTTGCTGGCGTTTCATAGTATACTTTTTCTTGGATTCACATTGAAGTTTGTTGATATATACAGACGCTGGTGGCGCTCTCCAAAATTAGCTAATACTAGGAAAATCAATAATTAGAGACTTGTGGCAAGTCTAAGCCCTCGCATGGGGACATGGTACTGGCACTCTATGTATTATGGCCGCTGCCGATTTCCAGGGGCTCAGTCACAATTTCTAATTCCAAACTTGGAATAATAACAAAAATGAAATCATAATAATAATAATAATAACTTCAGATATTTCTTTCCAATTTATACCATTAAACATATATTCTAATTATATCACTCTTCACTACTGTTTTCAAATTTGTTGATTTCTGTACATGTAAGCCTTCGCACTTCATCTTCAATCCTGCCCTCTGATAAAGTTAACAATCTTAAAGTTTTGAATTCATATCCAGCTTCACTCAATGCTTTATAGCGTCGATTAAATGTACTAATGCTAAAAGAAAACACACGTGGTTGATCACGGATTTGTTGTAATGTGAAACCTACTGATTGAATATTGTCGGCTTTAAGTTGCAAGATCTTTGGCTGAAAGTTTATAAACTTTGGGTACCTAGTGATCAGAGTTACAGTGTCCTTGTGATTAAGGTTAAATAACTTCTGGACGAAATCAAATTTTGTTTGGATGTAGTGCGGGTAGACACGCATTGTTTCTGGGCAGAATCGTACCATAGTATACAATGCTTTTTGAGTAAATCCAAGGCTCTCCAGAAATTCAATGTTTCTAAAGATCTCACCAGGACTTCTAACAAAAACCTTTGGACAAGTCATTAGCATGCTCCGTAACATTTTTCTTGAAAGATCTACATCCATTTTCACATGTGTTTTTAGAATGTCAAGGATCTGCGTACAAACTAATTCAATTCCATCTATCTTGCGGGAGAAAGTAGTTGGATAATGCAAAAGAATAACGCCAATCTTTTTCTTGGTTACTTGAAGTTTTTCTGCATATCTCACATTCCCTTGTATTGTCTCAATTGGCACGCTAAAAAATTTTGGTGCACGATTCATAACTTGACCTATTTGCTCAAAAGTCAGATTATATTTCTGAAGTAAATTCACATGATCATGTAAGTGATCCAACGATACTGATAAAAGTCCTGGTTGTCTTAAGACGACACTCTGTATTGCTTTGTCATCAAGATTAAAATTTCGAAAAAACTGAATATTACTTTGAATATGGTTGAGATTTCCTTTCAGAGTGGTAGGCCTTTTGTCTTCAATTCTCTTTGTGTCAAACCCCATTTTGTACAAATATTCTTTAGCTTGGGTTGTTGTGCTTCTCACCTTATCAGCCGTTTGGCATTTTTTATCGGAGATTGTTCTCTTGATACAGATTTCCCCTGATGATAAAAAATAATTATTTTTTGTTGTTCTATTTTGAATTAAGGCAGATATATTTTGTTTATAACCTGTTGTGAGCTGTCTTTGGCCTAGGGAGCAGCAAGTCACTCTGTAAATGAAAAGTTGAGCCAATCTTGGTACCAAATATGTTGCTTTAGGCTTAGCCATCTTTCCATACTTGTGAAATTTGATGGTTTAATGACGAATCTGAAGAGACAAAAAATTAGCATTTATAAACTAGTACCCTGACACAAATTTTGGTTTTGCACTGCCCCACATTAAGACACACTGTTTTATTTTATTAAAATTTCAATAGTTGTACTGCCCACAATCATAAATCAGTGCTATTAGCCGAGAATTTAAGATGGCGAGACGTTTGTTTTAGAGTTAAACTTAAATAGTTTTTTATTGTTTTAGGTGGCCACAAATGTAAGTAGAATGATAAACAGTTAATGATAGGAAGTTCACATATTAAAGAATTATCTATGCATAGAAACTGATGAGAAAATAAGGAAAACTTTGATACCAAGAATTCCTATATTATCATAATTCTTCATAATTTTTTTTACATCTGGATTTTGAAAGATACGAGATGTGATTTTCACACAGCTTTGAACGGTCATAGGCGAATTATGATGAATTATGGATTTTACATCACAAGACGTAGTGTGGAGGTGACCGAACCAGAAGGTGACCGTACCGGCTCGGTAGGCCTAGGGGATTTAGGCTAGGCTCCCCCTCCCCCTTGAAGGTGTGAAATTTTATATTATTTTTATCTTCCAAAGTTAAACAATAAATTTAAATTTAGTTTTATTTTGTAAAGAAATAATTTGTGCTGATGTGGAGATGTATTCTTATTCTGGCTGTTGATTTAGGATTCGTAAACTAATTTTCAAAATAATAAAAATTATTTATAAATATATCAATAATTGAAAATAATTCTTTTTTATAATTTCACAACACTAAATAATAGCTTACTTAGAATTTTTAAAATTATTTTCAATTGGTATTAAACATTATTGTATAACTCTTACAGAAAAATGATATTTGACAATATTTCTGTCACTAAAACAAACCTTCCAAAAATTTGTTAAATATTTAGAGATGAGTGAATGAACTTAACATTCTCGCTGGTAACTGGTAAATAACAGTAAGCCTATTTATTTGAAAAGTAGGTATAGTCTATTTCAATAATATGACAAACGAAACACACTTAATTTCCTGATTTTATGGATGTAAATCCATTGCAGCCAAACTTGTTCGTAGCCGAAACAGATGGCATTCTTAGACCAGTTTTTAGAGGAAGGGTTAGACTGCCCTCGGCTAGGCAAAAATAGTGTTTAAACTTTACAGTATTTGTAATAAATATATGAAATGACCTACCAAGTTATGTTATTGAGTCCAACACAATAAATCAACTTAAAAGTAGGCTCAAGCACTGCATCAATACAATGCCTAACCGTCTGAAGAAGTTTCCCTGTATAGTAGAAGCAGAAAAAAGAAAGGGTTAGGCATTCACCACCAAGGGACATAAAATCTTAGGCCCCTACTATAGGTTAGAAGTCTCAAGTTTAGGGTACATGAAGGTAAAAATAAAACAAACCGCAAGAAATTACTAGGTCTCTAAGCCCTATTCTTAACTACAGTTGGCATGTTCAACTACAGTTGGCATGTATTAATACAACGATGACATACATTCTTTATTATTTTATTTTTACTAACATACAGTAGAATCAGATACAGTAGAATTACTAGTTTTTTACAAATAAATACTCTGTAATTTTAAAAATTCAACATTAACAGATGTATTTTCATAAGTTTATCCATTTAAATAAAGGTTTCTTAATGGTGGTGGGATATAAAGGGTGATAATTTAAAATACCTTGAATGTACAGGTCTTAAATGAAGCAGTTTATTGTCCTGAGCAATTTTACCCCTTTTTTAAGAAGATACGCAATGTAGGATAAAAATAGGTAGGCCTCTACAGTTCAATTTTTTATTTTTTTAGCAATGACCATTTCCACCCTTGATGTAATCTTCATTTACAAAACATTTGAATGAGCATCATATATTATTATCTATTTATTATATTGTATCTTTAATACTTTTATCGACTATCATAGACATGATGTATATAAACATAGTGTTGCAATACACAGAAGGACTATCTATAAATACAGGGGAATCTTCTTATCTAACATGCTATCCACTCAACAAAATAATTAGAAAATTGTACTATTGTGTGACGATTACTGAATACTGTACTACAACTACTGTAATCCCAGGATTTAATAACTTTTTTGTAGAATTTTGTGTAGAATTTGTACAATGTAAGTATCTTAGCAAAACTGGTGGTACTGTGTGTGCAGAACCATGGAGATCCATTGTTAACCTTTGGTATTGGTTCAATCCCATCTTCTGCTTTCCTTGTGTTACAGCTAGAGGTTGTAAAATGTCTTAGAAGAGTCTAAACCCTTGGTCATGTGCATGTTAAAGAATGCAGTACAATCTTTGGAAGACTAGAATTTGTCTCGTATACCCCTTTCAGACAGACCTGCAAAACGGTATTAATACCGTATTTCTCGAACGCCGGCGTTCTATGAGAAAGGGTAAATAGGCCTAAACACCGGCTTCAGTTAGACCTCCTCAGGACCTAGTCTTAATACCGCATTAATACCGTAGCGAGTTTTGCCCAACTCGATGTGAGAGGGTACAGGGTTCATCGCCGTCTTACGCACTGAGGCATAACAAACCAGATGGTCACATGGGCAGCCATCAACCGCTGCTGCAGCTAACAAAGCCATGAAATCGCTAGCTGACGGTTCTTTAGACACGAAAATCGCCTGCACCTAGCTGCTCGAAATACAAGTCGGCCTAGCCTTAAACGCTTCCTAAATTCTTTCTTCACTTGAACAAAATGCATTAGAAACCTTCTGTTTCTCAATTTATATGTATTGCAAACATAGCAAGCATTAAAAAACATTTGCAAAGCAGCAGTTTTATGACTTCATCTCCAACCATATTGGATTAATGGAGTAAACAAAAACTTGCGCCCTCTTTGTTAACAAGCACAAGAGCCACAGACACCAAATACTCCTTTCCGCGAGAACCATTTCAGACAGGATACGGTATTATTACCGGATTTTAACTAGCTGTGTGAAAGGGTCTGCGCCGGTAATAACGGCAGCGTGATTAGGGTATTATTGCGGTATTTTCACATAATAATTTTTTTTACATCTTCATTTAAATATTTTTAGGAAAGTAATATCTTTTTCTACAGACTGATTTAACCAAACAACATCAAAACCATTTGAACTAAGGACTGATTTCACTTGCAGACCCAGTTTTTCTTCTTGTCTTTATGCTCAGCAAATTGTTTAAGCATGAGGAAGGCTTTACAAGGCTGTCGGTCATTATCCATCTATCTTAAAGCTACAAGAAAAGAAGCACTACACCATCACCGCACCGTTTACAGACAATTTAAGGCACAGGGGACAGCCTATTGCTCACCAGTGTTCAAGTAATGGGGGTATCTAACTAGAACAATTAAGCAAGCAAGCAAGAAAAACAAGAGAACTAGGACAACAGATACATCTTGAGAGCTTTTTTGAACATTGTTTGCATATTTCTCTTTCTTTTTGACAATTCCACCATTCCTAAATACCATTGTTTTTTACTTTTTAAAATTGATTACAAGTCCCCACCTACAGTATTACAGCATTCATTTAAAACAACAAGCATCCTCTGCATATAGTATCTCTGGGAGAATCTGCAAGGATAACAACATCATCAGCGTATAGAAGGCAGAAATAATTAGTTGGAATCAAAAAATTCCAGACCACAAAATCCTTTGTTTTTTAAGTTCTCTACTAATCATTTTATAAATATGGAGAAAAGAAAAGGAGATAAATTGCAACCCTGTCTGAGGCCGAAAAAGCAATAAAAAAAATGCATGCAGTTCTGACACAAGACACAATACAATCATAATAATACCAATTGTGAGTACAGTAGACATTCAAACTTAAATGTATCATGTATGGCTTTGGCAGACCCAACTAAAAGCTAAAAATTTCCTTTTCAAATACAGAATACATTACAATATATAAAAAAAATAATGATATATGATGATATGAATGTACACATTAAAATTATACACAACATAAGATGATGTTTTGTGTATACAGTGCGCTACTGAATAGACTTCTACTAAATACTGACTATTTTAGTAGGACGATGTTGTTATTAATATTGTAATGACGATTTACAGTAGGTATCAGAACGAGCACATCAAAACATGCGGATACCAAGAAATGAAAATAAAGAATCAATAAAAAACAGCATACTTTAATAACTGTAAATTCATTCTAAAGCACTTGGAGTAAAACAATTTTACATTTACTAGGCCCTATAAAAATATTATTAGTTTATCACCTCTAGGCTGGAAAAGTGATGAAGGAGTGTAATTTTATTATATTTTTTATTTTGCTAATGCCAAATGCCACCCTTGCTGGTACATTGATATTCAAAGTAAAACATGATAAATAATAATAATAATAGTGTAGTTTTATATAATAGTAATAGTAATAGCGCACATATCCATCTAATGTAAGATGCTAAGTGTCCCTTCGTGTCTGTGCTACCCGGTACAAGGGCCCCCCCCCCCTCTCAGTGTTGTGGTCCAATATGATATCATCATAGATATGTGATAGAATGTGTCCTCCTTCATCTCTGTTCATAGTATCTGTTGTTTTTCTGATCCATAAAGATTCTCTGACTTTTCGTTCAAACCAAGAGCTTTTTGAATTGATTAATTGACTGAGAACCCACAGATTCAACTGACAAATTATTCCAATCGTTAATTACTCACGCACTAAAACTTTGTTCTCCCCACTTAGTTTTAACTTTTGGTTTCTTTAATTTCAGTGAATGTCCCCCAATAACAACAGTTGATGACAATTAAAAAAAAATACCAACCTACTCCCCTGTACAACTTATCAAAACCATTAAAAAATTTTAAAAACCTGGACAGGCCAATCCCAAATTTTATTGTCGAAATCAAGTATATAATTTGTGGCTTATACACTTGAATATACAGTACGGACTTGTTTTTCAACAAAGAAACAACCGATTGACCATTTAATGCAGGTTGTATAAACTATAAGGTAGTTTATAATTTTTGGAAATTCACTTCTAATAAACGCCCCCCCCTTTTCGAAAAAATGTAATGCCCCAGGGCCGTTTATTAGAGACAATACAGTATTACGCCACAATAAAAGTACCAATACACATGCGTGCGGGTTCACCAAAGTGGGCGCTGGTACTGTAGGAGTTGAAATGGGTACGAGTTGGCATGGGTACTACTACTAGTAGTAGTACTAGGCCTAGTACTACAAGTTAGCCGACACCCATTTTGGAAGGTAAACTTCTTATAAAGTGTCCCTCTCCCCTTACCATACCTATTACTACGCTAGGCCTAGGATAGGATACAGTAGGACAAGAGGCGGAATTCCTAGAGGCTAGGCTAGGCCTAGGAGATGCCTAGGCCTAGGCTTAGTTAGTGGGGGACCTAGCTAGGGCCAGGTCCCCTAGCCTAGGCATACATATATAGGCTAGAGTCTAGGCCTATGCAGGGAGTTATGCCTACCTATATTATATATAGGCCTAGGCCTAACTAGCCTAGTATTGTTAATATAGTGTAGGCAAGCTAGCTAGGCTGGCCCTAGTTAGGACGCTAGTTAGTCAGCGTGTCCCCTTTTGATTGACGTTTGGCCTGGCCTTATCATTCCGTAGTAGGAGCCATGGGCCTAGGCTAGATTTATTATTAGTCCTACCCTAGCCTAGTGTTTAAAGATATATTTCTCCTCGTTTCACAGAAACGTGTCCCCTGATTAGGAGCGTTGTGTTCTACTTTATTCCATTATTCACCTAGCCAAAGCCCTCACCTCCATCACCAGCAATGCCGCCATGTTGTAAATTCTGACTTTTTATTCTAATCACACGTGTGCGACAGGGGATATGACCGGTTGAGCCGCCGACAAGTTGAGCCGCCGGTAATTTCTATGGAACGCCAAGCGCGTCTCTCAGTGAATGTAGTCGGCTTGCCAATGTCGTCAGTGAATGAACCCCCCGGATACCAGCTACATATTCATCCCACAGTCTTGTCAGTCGTTGATTTGCTCGTATTGCCGTTCGTGATGTATAATTGTGTAATTGAAAATTAGAATTTTTATATTTTTATGTACTCTATTTTTATAAAAATATATGAAGTTGTATAATTGCAAAATCATATTAAAAATGTAATTTTATGTACTACATTTTTATAAAAATAAATGAAGTTGTATAATTGCAAAATCGTATTAAAAATGTGTTTATTTACGTTTGGTTTGCGGCGTATTTCTTATTCGTTATTTGTACTGTTTTGTTAAATTATTTAATTAAATTATTTATTATATATAAGTTTAACAAATAGTACAAAAATAAAAATATATAAATTATAAAACCATAGTAAATACTGTATAATAACATAGGCCTAACACATTTAAATTTATTGTTTATAGTCATGCAAAATCGTATTAAAAATGTAATAACCTGATTATTTTTTACGTTTAGTTTGTGGCGTATTTCAATTAACTTATTCATTATTTGTACTATTTTGTTAAATTATTAAATTAAATTATTTATTATATATAATTTAACAAATAGTACAAAAATAAAAAGTATATAAATTACAAAACCATAGTAAATACTGTATAATAACATAGGCCTAACACATTTAAATTTATTATTTATTATTCATGCAAAATCGTATTAAAAATGTAATAACTTAATTATTTTTTACGTTTGGTTTGCGGCGTATTTCAATTAACTTATTCGTTATTTGTACTATTTTGTTAAATTATTTAATTAAATTATATTTATTATATATCATTTTACTGTATATAATAAATGATAAGAATGTATGGAGTTTTTTTTTTTACTATCTGGCAAGCCGACAGAATTAGACAGATGACTATAAACAATAAATTTAAATGTGTTAGGCCTATGTTATTATACCGTATTTACTATGGTTTTGTAATTTATATATTTTTATTTTTGTACTATTTGTTACACTTATATATAATAAATGATAAGAATGTATGGAGTTTTTTCTTTTACTATCTGGCAAGCTGACTGAGCAAATACTCACAAATTTAAATTAAAACGATAGAAAGAACAAGTAAATAAATTGAAATACGTCCCAAAAATATTTAATAAGTCAGTGCAAAAACCGAGTATTAAATAAATTGAAATAATTTAGTAAATAAACTGAAATACATCCCAAACAACAGTACCAAGAACGAATGATTCAATTGAAATATGCCGCAATTAACGCACTACATTCACTGAGAGACGCGCTTGGCGTTCCATAGAAATGACCGGCGGCTCAACTTGTCGGCGGCTCTACCGGTCATAATCCTCGATCAGCAGTGCGAAGCAAACGGATCGTGCGATATATTGGCCACTAATATGGTACGCCCGTCCGTCGACTTGCTCGTACAATACTGTCGATTGTACAAATAAGAAAGTATAATACATACTCCAAGAAATACACGCCATCGTGTTGGGATTCAATATTTCGACATTAATTATGTCATCATCAGGAATGAAAAAATTATCCATATTAGCAA